CATCAACCTGAGAAGTAATGTAGGCGCACCGCTGTAAGTCCTCCAGTTCTTCAAGGGTAGTTTTTCACGCCGGAATCCACAACATTCGATGTATTGATTGTACATATGTTTGTGTTAAGTAGCTGAGTGGGTTTCAATCAGTGTAATTGTTGATTAATCTTGTTTGTGTCCGGATATTCTTCAACTTACAATCGTCAACGTTAGAAGGTTTGCAGGCGAACCAGTGTAAGTCCTGCGATTCTTCAAGTGAATTCCATTAAGACATGATCTACGAGGTTATGTGTACTGTTTGTATATATGTGTGGTGTGTCATATCAATTGGTGTTTTTGGATTCACTGTGTTTACTTGTTGTTTCCTATCTTGGTGTTATGCATAATTTTGTTAAAATTTTCGTCGTGATTACTTCTGAAGTTGTTTCGAGTCTTCTACATCCGTGAGTGAATTGATTGATGTAAAGACAGCAGATGGGTCGTATACGCCGGGGAGGCTAGGCTATTGCTGAGAATGAAATGCAGACGGAGATAATTGTTAGCTGCGGTCCGACACGCCGGGGAGAAAGAGTGTAGACGACTGAGGCTCGCATACGTCACCGTCACTAGAATTGAGGCAGAATGAGTGACAAGCGATTTCAGTGGTAATTGGTAATGAGTGGATAAGAGGATGTGCGTAGAGTATCGTGAGGTGCTGCCATGGTCACTTTGCATTCTGCAAGAGTCATTCTAGCAAGTGGAGACTGTGTTGCAAGATGTCAAGAGGAGGTCTCTATCTGGAGGCGCAGGTCGTCATTGATGTGTGAGATTGTACTGTGGGTATGCTTGTGGTGTGTTGGCTTTTCTGTTTATTTTCCATTTCAGCTCTGTCCGTGTGACCCAGGTTCTCGAAATGGCATCCAAGTCAACGTGCATTGGTCGTGAAGGAAAAAAGGGTTGGATCCCTTTTTTGCCGGGGAGTGTCAATGGAGTTGAAGATTGAACGATCAATTCATGGTTGTTTGCTCAAAATCAACTTCCCCAATTTTCGCGCAAGCAGCAATCAGCCAGTCATCGTCTCATCGTTCGATTTTCGGTGCAAGAGAGGAAACTATGAGAAGTATAATCGTGATTTATTGTTATGACATTTATTCCTAGACCTTGTGTATAATAACCTTATTGTTTGTTACATAGTTGCAAGAATAAATGACTCTCGATTCGCCAGTCTTTGTTGAGGTTTTTTACGTTGGTTATTACACATTGTTTCTGAAAGTTTTTCAAGGACAGCGTGGGGTCCAGTGTAATAAGTCCTGGACATTGTCGAGCCTCATTTCCGTGAGTGGATGGTACGCAGAGACAACCAACAGCGGACGCCGACGAGTGCGTCAACGAATATCGTAATATTGTCGCCTGCATAAAGACAGATAAGGGAGCCGTGAAAGCCACACTGTCCATGAAGGACGGAAAGACGCTTTCACCGAAGAGCCAGAAAGCCGCCGCAAGCAAACTTGATCTCTCTGACAGGTCGCTCGTTCGCTACAGAGCAGAAGAATCACTGGTTTGGGATTTCAAGGCTACGTTTGAACATGACATTAGCCCTGTCAAACCTAAGTAGGTAAGTGGCTCACAACAACAGTCCCAGGTGAAACTAGTCACAGATTCAGCCGAATCAGTCAAAAGGGTGACTCTACAGTAAATCAGCCGGCATGCCTTCTCACAGTCGTACTAAACTAGAAAACAGAGAGGGATGCTACACTAAGCAACTCCCAAACTCTGCAGGCATCAGCCGTATACGCCCGTACTGACTTACACCTAGCAAACCGCGTCATAAGGTAGTCTGTGGCTCTAGAATTAAGCTAACTGTGCTGAAGCGGCGAGGAAATCCCTAGGACTGAGGGTTGCAAGGTCGTCGGAGCCTGATAATTCCGAAACCTCTTCTGGTAAGGCACGGGAGCGCCAAACTGAGTTGACAGTTTGCTACACAAATGCCTATTGAGCAAATGAACTGAGCCGCTGGGTATGATAGACTCCGGAAACTCTGATGTAATTGTGATCACAGAGACACTGCTGTCATCCTCTGTCAGCGATAGCAAAGTTAACCTGCCAAAAGTGACAGTGTATAGGGTGGATCGACTAAGCCGCAAAGGAGATGACGTAGATATCCGCCTCAAGAAATACCTAACCGTACGTAGCACTGAAGCCCTTGAACATGAAAGTGGAGCGCGCTAGCTTTTATGCCGAAGACTTGAATGAGAAGGCCAAGATATTGACCTGATTGCTACATGCTGCAGTGCTGACTGCATTGCGGACGACTTCCAAATAGATAATCTAGGCTCCTGGCCATAGAAATATCACGGTCTAGTAGTTGGTGACTTCAATGCACCAACAGTTGACTGGGCAAGATTTACAATGCCGCCTTCAGACAACCCCCTTGACCATAAGCCACTGGAATCCAGCATTTCGCTTACTCTAGTCCAACATGTCATGAAGCCCACGCCCTATGACTCACAGCGCTCCTCTTTCACCCTGGACCTAGTGTTACCCCACGGTGAGGATGAAGACCTCATACTCACTCTTCCTCCTCTAGGAAGGAGTGGTCACGCTGGGTCTATTTTCGAGTAGTAGCAACGGTACCATGTTCCGAAACCCCAACTCGACCAATTTTTTTGGATGCTGATATAAATGCTATTGTCTTAGCATCCAACTCAGTGAACTGGTGCATAAAGCCAGAGCCCCAATTATAAGCCCCATGGAACCAGTTCAAACAACTTTATGCCCAAGTAGCGGAACGTTGCATCCCCTTGTCTGTCCAAAAGGGTCGGAAAAATTGCTTTCCTGGGTAAATTAAGAGATCCGTTAACTAATCACACGTAAACACAGATGCTAAAACCTATTTGACTAACTTGAGACTAATGCGACTGAAAAATTATACAACGCCAGGAAAAAAGCTGTTTCAGAAATCCGCCAGTCAAGGATGAAGTTCGAAGTGTGTCTGGTTCAAGACGCACCAGCACAACATACGAAAATTTTCTCATGCATTAGCTTCAGGAATAAGACATCCTGTCAGCCAACTCTCAGAAACTGTTATTGTCCAGCTCTTACCACGCTGGACCTTACACTGTCCAGAAACAACTTCTATTAACCAATGCCAAAACCAGAACACTGATTGGCAACTAGAGAATCCTTTATTCTTATGCCAACATGTAGCACAAGTTTTCTGATAGTTTTCGATCTTCCACTGAACAGCAAACGATGAGATGATGACTAATGGATGGATGACTCCCGCGAAAAATGTGGAGGAGTTGGGTTTGAGCAAACAACCATGAATTGATCGTTCAATCTTCAACTACATTGACACATCCAAATGGGCCTAAACCACAACACTAACAACGACATATTCAAAGAGGATCAAGAAAAAGCAGAAGCATTGGCAAAATGCTTCTCCAAGGTCTGTACACATGATCATCTGTCCACACAACATTGGTACTGGCGGTATGAGAGGAACACAGAGTAGACCTCGTCGATCTCGACCAAGACATCGTGCTCAACTGCCTAAAGAAACTAGATTCAAGGAAATCAGTGGGTTCTGATATGCTTCATGCAAGGCTTCTCATAGGGCTATCAACTCACATAGCCGGCCCACTAACTACGATCTTCAAGCTATCTCCTCTAAATGGAGTGTTACCGCGCGACTGGAAAGACGCCATAGTAACCCCCCACCCACGGGCAAGATCAATGAAACTCCCTTCAAACTTCAGATATATTAGTCGTAGCAGCACCTTAATACAGATACCAGAAAGAATCATCCAGAAACCTATCGTGGGATACCTGGATGCAACAACTTGTTTTCCAGAGCGCGGCATGGCTTCTGAAGAAATCTCTCAGGCCTATCAAACCCCCCTACGGCTGGAGAAAGCTAGCTAAGATCGAAGGACAACAGAGGACCCGTTGACGTCGCCTTCATAAACTTCAGCAAAGCCTTCGACAAAGTACCTCACAAAAAACTGACCGAGAAATCGGTAAGTCTTGGGATCAAAGGCGGCTTACTAAACTGTATCAAGGAACTCCCCATAGGTAGGAGGTGTAGAGTTAGGATTAACTCAAAACTCTCCTCGCGGACAACAGCGAGCAGCGGACTCCACAAGGCACTATTCTCCGGCCTCTTCTTATTTTTTATATTATTGGGTTATATGTGCTCACCTATTTCTTTATGGTCTTATACACAGATGACTTGCATATCTGAAGGAAGCCGAAGGGTGACAATACACTCACGCTGCGAGAAGACCTCAACAGACTGTCAAAGTGGTCCGGAGAATGGATGCTACCGATCAACTCGGAGAAACGTGTAATCATCAGCTCCTACTAACTAAAGGGAATAACATTGCTATCAGCTCAGAATCATTTGGATTTACGTGTCATAGTAAGTAACGAATTTAAAACTACAGCGCACTGTCGCGCGGTAGCTGCACGTAGTTTCAGAACTTTATGGATAGTTTTAAGGGCTTTTACCAGAATCACAGGAGATATGTTAACCTCCTCATATACATTTCTGGTGAGGTTAAGTCTGGAAAACTGTATCCAGACAACCAATCCTTGTCTTAAAGGGGACTCGCATATTCCAGAGAGAGTTCAGAGGAAGGTGACGCATATGGTTCCTGGTGTGAGTAATCTAATGTACGAGGAAAGACTCAACAACTTAGGTCTCTACTCCCTATCATACAGTAGGCAGGGAAGAGATCTAATTACAATGTTTAAAATTTCAAATAACGACTACAGACGTGGTCTATTCTATTTTCCCCCTCCCATTAGGTTTGTAGGAGAGCCCAAAGCCGAGAAGAAACGACATTGCTGTAGAGTATTGGTTCTCACACCGAGTCATAAATTCCTGTAACCAACTCCAAGAAGAAGTTGTTACAGCGCCCTTAATTGATTCATTAAAGGAGGTTTCGTACAAGCACAGGAATTTGCTAGAAAAGGATCAACATAAACTTCAAGTCTTCCAATTCCAATCAACAATCCTGAATTTAAATCCAATATCACAGTCTTCCTCGATTGTCTAGGCTCTCAGAAATACAAGAATCAAGAAAAGATTTAAAAAACCAGTGTTTAAAATGATCCTTCAGAGACTCAAAGCTGGTCAGCGAATGTTGCATGTTATCACTGTTACCACTTATATTATTACTATTATTATTGAGAAACTGACTGAAACAAACGTGTTAATACACACTGGCCAATAGGAATGCATGAATATTTATAAATATTACGACGAGATACTGGCAATGCGATTTTTTCGGTCAATACGTAAAAATTTGGCTATATTTTGAGGTGATGAATGAAATTTCAGATATTTGTTTGTTCGCACCAATTTTACAAATCCCAAACTAGCACGTATTTAAGTGCGAGGTTATCAGTCTTCGCTAATTCAGTTTTCACAAGACGTAAGCCATTAGTCTCAACTTATTTCGTTTATTTTTTACACACTCCTGTTTTTTTATGCAGAAATATCTAGAATCGTATTGAATTTGCATATGAAACTAAACTCATACTAAATAGCTTCATGAAATTTGTTTATGGGTTTTAATTTGTGTAATTTGTGTAGGAATGATAAATAACATTTCTTAAATAATGAACTATAACGACTGATAGAAATCTTGTTTAAAATTCTTTTGTGACATTATTACTGGAACATACGTGCAAATCATAAATATTTCAAATGTTTTAAATTGTAAATGTCTATTAAACGAATAGGTGCACCATTATCCGATGGTCAATCTGCGCCTACCTTTGACCGAACAGTTGGGTTAGAATAATAAATTCGCACACTTAAGGAGGTATTTTTCGGCAGATTAGGTAATCAGAAATTACAGGGATGTGTAAACACTGCACAATATAAAAACCACGTCCTTGTTTCTTTAAAATTGACCTGTTAACGGCACTGAGTTGTAGTCCCCAAAGGTAGAGGCAAACGAATTTGCCATCCTCTACGAAAAATCTTCATATGACTTCTCCTCAAGAATTTTTTGGCCACCCTACAATATATATATGTCATTCCGGAAGTAATAGTTTTATCACACAAGCTTATTTGTGTAGGAAAGTGCCTATTAACAAAACTGCTTACCACACTTCAGAAACTTTCAACAATTGCCTAATTTATTAGTTACATCTTCATCACCTGGTGACGAGGTCCTTCCAATATCCAATATCGTTTTTACGAGCTAGTATAAACCAATTTGATTTCTTTGTGCTCGCTTCTTGATTGTGAGGTATAGGTTCTTGATCTTCGGTAAACTTCTGCGTAGCTTGTCCCGCCACTCGACTGTCGTAGCTTTGGTTGACTCCAAAGGGAGTAGTGCTGGGATTAATTATATGTGGTTTGTAGTATGAGGTATGTTAAGACTGTTACTACTGTGATTGGAGTGATTCCTTTCGCCAGTTAGTCCTTCGGTATTGTCGACAAGAGAAAAGAGATAGTAATAATAATAATAATAGTAATAATAATAATAATAGTAATAATAATAATAATAGATATAATTAGTGAAGCTATTCAGACTAAGAGACAGAAACGAAAATAGGAAACGTAACAACAGTCAGCTCATGAAGTTTGAAGAATAATATATATATCAGTAATAGTGATAATAATAATAATAGTAATTATAATATTAATAAGTTGTCAGGAGAGTAAGACGGGAGAGAATGTAAAGAAGTAAAATGACGAGTTTAATTATCTACCCTGATTGGTAAATGCGATTTTAAGGAGATAGGCCATTTGGATGCAGTCCTTGTATCGCTGCATGGTTGTCCAGCCTTCGCTTAAAGGCGTCCAAAGACGGTGCCATAGCTACATCTGCCGGTAAGGAATTCCAGGGACGACAAACCCGCAGTGAAAAGAAGTGGGAGCGCACCCGGGTCCTTGCCCTCTGGTGAGCTATCCTTCTGGGATTTCCACGTGGAAGCCTATACCTACTCAATGGCAGAACACCTTTGTTTGGGTGATTCTGGTCATTTGTTATTTTGTAGGCAGTAATCAAATCCCCCCTAAGCCGACGGTAACTAAGTGTGAACAGGCCTAATTTCTTCAGCCTTTCATCATAAGGTTTGTTTCGGAGACCAACCACTCCTTTTGTTGCCCGTCGTTGGACTCTTTCCAAGAGGTTGGCATCTCTTGTAGGTAATGGAAAATGTTCTAGACTTTCAAAAGACCAATAAAAATTGCGCATAGATTTCTTTCATCTTAAATTTCTTCTTTTCAGTAAAACTTTACAAAATGTGGGTCGAGGGTAATGAAACTCCAAGTCTTGGCTCAGTACCAGTTACTGAAGGAAAGTTTGAAGATATGCCTAAGAATGCCCAACGCTTTGTTGCTAAATGGGTAAGTTATCTTTAGCGCACCAAAGTTTGTCACACAGGTTCATCTTTATTTATGTATTTATTCTTATTAAATACTCCTACGAGTTATGGGAAAGCCGTCCCTCTGATTATTTTATTCTGAGGTTTCTTTTGGCTTGCCTTTAAATGTTGATGTTAGTAGTGATAACTTGACTATCCAACATATAGTAGACATTGTAGTATATGCAAATCAAACCATCTGTAATTATTCCGAATTATTATCCTGATTACAGAAGTGAACTGTTGTAAAAATTACGGAGTTTTGACGGAAAATTACAAAGACATTGAATTTAATCTCCATTCACAAATGCATACTATTCCAAGTGGATGATGTGGGCTGTTTTATTCATTAAATGTATCGCATTTCATATTTCAAAGAATAGAAACCCCATAGACTGTATAAAAGTTAAAAGCATTTTTAAAGTTTGGTACATAACCCTTTACATATTTTCTATTTCCCTAGTCGATACATTTCAAAATGCAAAGAGAATGAGGATTAATTCGACGAGTAAATTTAGTTCGATAAGCAAATTTACGTCATTTTTAAAATTGTTTGAACCCTGATATTGTAGGAAGCTGCGCTTAGTGATTACAACTCATGGTTGAATTTTAGAAACAATTTGTAATCAGGAGATACTAACATCGCAGCTTAAATATCAGAAGCATACATTGAAAAAGACATTTTTTGACAAAGCAGCGTTGTGAGATGAACTCAGTGCCTTGGGTGTTTAGAAAATACATATTCGAATACTTATTTGTGTGTATATTTCATGAGAAATTTTATTGAGACTCTTCCGTTTGTCTTTTAAAAACAAAACAACTAGGTGGGAATTTGCAAACCAACAAGCGTGTACATATGTGATGGTAGTGAAAAACAAAAAAATGAACTCATTGAAAAATTGCTAAAGAATGGTTCAATGCATAGATTGCCTCCATATGAAAATAATTTTATCACATGTACAGATCCTAAAGATGTTGCTCGTGTTGAATCTAAAACATGGATTTGTTCAGAACATCAAAAAGATACAGTACCTGATGTTGCACCGGGTGTTAAAGGTGTTCTTGGCCAGTGGATATCACCGGAAAATTTAAATGTAGAAATTAAAGATCGTTATCCAGGCTGTATGGAAGGTCAAGTCATGTATGTAATACCATTTAGTATGGGTCCTGTTGGTTCACCATTGAGTAAAGTTGGTATTGAGATAACTGATAGTATATATGTTGTTCTGTGTATGACTATTATGACACGTATGTGTCCAGAAGTATGGAAAGTTATTGAGTCTAGCAAAGAATTTGTCCGATGTGTACACAGTGTTGGATGTCCCGCTTCATCTACCCGTAAGTGAATGTTATGTATTTATTTATCGCTTTTCATTTCAAACACTTTTCAAATAAATACTTGAAAAATAATTAAAATTACTATTTTCTGTAATTGTGATGTGCAGGACACTGTAATTCTTCCTCATAATCCTCCTTAACTTATTTGAAAATTTTAAAAAAGCTCTTAATCTAGCAGTATCATATCACCGGGGATAAAATGTTGTATAATTTTAATTTATCTATCCGACGGATAAATTGGGGATCAAGTCAGAAATACAGCGCTTTTTTATGAGACTCATACGATCAGTTATACTGAAAAGACTCAAATTAATAATTAACTAGGATGATCACAAATAAAACTCTATCGTCCCCAATTGTCCATTAATTTGCGGGAAAAATAATTCAACCAGAAAGGTCTTTGTAATTTATTGGAAAAAAATGATGTTTTGAAACTTATATCATAAATCACTCATAAACATATTAGTAATGAGCATTAATTTATGCTTGAAAAGTCAGCCAGTTGTTAATATTGTGTCACTGTGTGTGCGTGCGTGCGTATTATACCAAATGAAATTATTCAAGATGGAAGCAAAAGTCTAGTTCGAGATTGAGACTTCTCATGATCTCATTTACAATGAAGTTCAGGACTACCATTTGCCAAGTGAGTAAGCAACTAATGAAATTCTCATTTAACAATACACAGAAGTATTGTAATATTTCAATAAAGAAAGGAAGACGAAATTCGCAGTATGAAATGATATCATCATCATTCTATTTCACAGGTTCTCATCAGCTAACTGCAAACTACCTGAAATTATAATGATTACATATATAGATGATAATAACATACTTTATTGTTTAAGTCCTAGTAGAGAAGAAATACTATAAAACTGACACATCCAAAATGTAAGCAGCATTACAATTTTTAGTTTAAGTTTTCATCATCAGTTTATGCGCTTTCAAAGCAGAAAAGCGTGGGCTGAAGTTCAATCCCCGGCCACCGATCCACTCCCTCACCTGGCTAAACCAATAATGGGACTGGTAAACAGAGAAGGTTGGACGTGAGGCTGCCTAGCAACCCCATCGTGTAAAAATAAACACCACTGCTAACGAAACTTCAAGCTTCTAGCTTGAAGGTGCCCTATGTTCTACTGGCAACGTGAAGGAATAAAAAAATCTACCATTTAAACATTAAAATGCGTTATTATCATCTGTATAAACATTGTAATTTCAGGTAGTCTATGACAGTTGATGAAAACCTGTGAAATAGAATGACAATATCATTTCATACTGCAAATTTCGTTTTCCTTTCTTTATCGAAATTTATCATGGGGACCAAATGTATGAAGTGCTGTGTGTGGTCTTAAGGCATCTGTTCTCACTACCAACTTATTTGATGTCAAATCTGAAAACTTTCTGTTCAAAAAGCTTAATAAGTTCTTTCTTCTAAAATATGTTTGATTGCTAAGTAACAGTTAAATAATTATTTATTATTATAGTATTTATTTATTTTCCTTTACGCTCCCAGTGGAATACTGAGCTTCAAGGTAGAGGCTTGAATTTTCGGTAGCACTGGTGGTTATCTTCACGCGATGAGGTTTTGTTAGCAAGTCTCATGCCTAACCTCCTCCCCTCTTTACGACTCTTATTACTGGTTTAGCCAGGCAAGAGCGTGCATCAGTGACCAGGGATCGAACCACTAGCCACACGCGGCGTGTTTGGCCAGCATCCCACCGCCTCGCCACAAATTCACCTTAGTCGCAAAACATTAGCAACAAGGAACTTTGAGAACAAATCAACTATGGACCTGTTACTCAAGAAATTTGATGAAGAAAATGTAGATAGATAGGTTAATGGCTGACGGGGACGTTGAATAACAACACGCACCAGGCCTTAGGGTGGCACCCAAATGGAAAACGATGAGTTGGGCGTGTGTCGCTGTCTGATACAGAGGAGATCATGGCGGGTAGGGGGTGAGAAAAAACAAAACCTTATAGACTTCAGAGAACAAAATGAAACTGATAAGTGCTTTTGAAACCCTGAGCTCCATTAAGAAGGAACCCAAGTGAATAATAACAATAATTTTATAATAATTGGGTGATTTGACAATTTTTTTAAACTAACATCAGTCAAATAATCATCGCCATTAAACACGAAATCTCACCATAAATTTTTTAAAACATCTTAATCAATTACTCAGCACTAACTTTTGAAATGAATATATATATAAAATTTATATGCCTACTTTATACATTTCCAGATAAAATTGTCAATAATTGGCCGTGTAATCCAGAGAAAACGCTTATTTCACATGTACCAAAAGAACGTCTTATCATGTCCTATGGTAGTGGATATGGCGGGAATTCTCTTCTGGGTAAAAAATGTTTTGCTCTACGTATTGCTGGTTGTATTGCACACGATGAAGGCTGGTTAGCTGAACACATGTTAATTATGTCTGTGACTAATCCAAAGGGTGAAGAAAAGTTTATTGCTGCTGCTTTCCCCAGCGCTTGTGGTAAAACAAATATGGCTATGCTTGAACCAGCATTACCTGGCTGGAAAGTTCAGTGTGTTGGTGATGATATCGCTTGGATGCGATTTGATGAAAATGTAAGCAGAACTTTAATTAATTGTTTTAAACAATTTATTTTTTGAAAAAGGGATTTCATTAAGCTACCTTAGAATAACTTTGGTTGGAGTAGAATTCCACGAATTAATAAAATGACTAAGCAGTAGATCAGGTTTCTTCCTCTTCTTCTCAGAGGGATCCAACTCTGAAAAGTCGTGTATTGACCATTCTATACTGGTTACCTTTAATTTAGATGTTTGTTGGAAACGAGACCTGATGGTTCTTCTCAAAGATTAGTCAACAGAAAACCAACATGGATTGATGTGATCAGTGATTTATGAAGCCCTACAGTTGAAGAACTTTCAATATCATGAAATCAACAGTAACATAAATAAGTTCTTACATTATTGTTCCAAGAATGGCTTTGAAATTGTGGCAAAGAACTGTTTATTAGATGCATTAAGGCAAACTATAGTAAATGATAGTTAAAAAAATACTGAGGTGAATATTAATATATCTCATTTTGCGCTGGGAAAAGCACGAATCAACTGTCATGGAGATGAGATAATCAGTGCGGAATAATGAAATATCTATGATACGAAGATTTGTTTTCATCAACGCAGGATAAATGGAGCTAGGTAATAATAATTCTAAGAGAACTAAACATATATAAGGTATGCACAATGATTAATAAAGTGAAATGTTCACTTTCTGACGAATAATGGAACACAAATTGACATTTTTAAATATTTCCTCATCAGAAAGCATTACTCCGTTAATCTCAAAGTTGAGAATGGTTGACAGCTATGCCAAGTGGTAGAATCACCGAAAATGCTCATTGAATCATGAAGAAACTACAAAGACGATTCACAGAGGAAAATTTTCTTTATCTTCGAAATCATCTTCAGAGACAGGCTGCGCAGTCGTATTTACTCCATTATTGAGTGTAGCGGGTGACAAAATGGCTATAATTACTCAGAAATGGCTTCAAAAGCAAAAATAAAAGTTGTAAATCACATGTAAAGCACAACGGCACAAAGAAGGAAAGCGTTAGGAATTTGTTGAGGTTAAAATTGTTATTTAATGAGAAGAAAGGCAGTTGAAAGTCCATTTAACAAGTGTGAAGAGGCCGAGTAAATGACCAAAAGGAAAATGTGAGAGTCATTACTGTGAATTAATTATTAAAGTAAAAGCAAAGTAATTATTAAAGATAGAAATTTAAACAAATTTACAGGGAACGACTAATGAAGAGGTTACAACCATAGTAGGATAAAAGACTGGACAAACCTTTTCTGTATACAGAGTTCGGGATTTTATTGATGAACTGTCAACGCCTCCGCCATACATAAATTCTGAAACCTGAAATCCTTTATATTATTTGGCTTCACCTTGTAGATGATCTTGAAAGATAACTCTGGTGAAACTGCTTGGCTTGATTTCACCAAGTGCTCAAGAATTAAGCTAGCAACTGTCTTGCTTTGTCCGTTTGCTAACCCACTATGCCGGATAATGTTCAGAGATGCGTTTGGAAAGTGTGCGGTTTATGTGGCCAACTTAACTGGCTCCACAGGAGCAAATGAATTTACAAGCGCTCACTGAAGTGGCCCAAAATGACAATTTATCCTCCATATATCCATTGATCATTTATTGGCTGTAAAATTTGATCCGTAGTTCAGCTGCAAATAAGGCTTTTCTCAATGGTCTGAATAAGTTGTCCTTCAAAATGTTATCTTCGGCAACGTTTGGGTTCTTTCAGGTTTTTGTCTTACTGTCATTTTTTCTCGATATATTTTGAAGGATATTCAGTTTACTTGAGGACTTGTCTGAGGCTCCCAAGTTCACCATCAATCGTATCATTGGCGCAGATTCACTAACAATTTTAACCCCATCAAATTTCCAACGCTTTCTATCTTTGTACCACTGAGTATTGCACAATTTTACTTTCGAAACCACTTTTGAGTAATTAAATCAGTTATGTCACCTCCTATTACTTAATAATGGACTATTAGACGTCTTTTGGTATCTTTAAATAGGATTTTGCAGCCTCTGAAGATGATTTTGTCGACAAAGAAAATTTTCTTCTCTGAATTGTCTTTGTATTTTTTTCAAACTGATTGAAGTTAAGATACAATTGGTGGATGGTGACTAGCAGTGGAATCCAGGATGCGCATTTCGTCCTATTTGGGACTCGTCAGCTGGATGTACCTGCATTTCTCAGTGAGTGATGATGTTCCCACCGAGGCACTGGGTTCGAGCTTCGGTGGGAACATCATCACTCACTTAGAAATGCAACTGACTTTACCAGAGTGTTGAAAATGCGAATCTTGTTGTTTATGCTGTGGAGTGAAGAAGATCTCCAAACGGAATTCAGGTTGAGTGCGACGCATCTTATCTTTCCTATTCTCGCTAGATTTTAGATCTCCATTTATCCTGCCTGTGGTTGAAACCGTGCTTCCCCCATTGTTGGTGATTGGGGCTAGTCGCTGTTGTTGTTGAGAGTCGTTCGTTATCTTATCAATAAACTTATGCACTTTTCAACCTGTCCTCTGAAGTCCTTTTTAGCTGTCTTCACGATAGCCAATAGACTGTCATCTTCTCCTCAGATGATCTTCATCATGTCACTCTCAGACCCATACCCAACTCATCTTGTCTTATTTAGGTCCTGCTTCACTGTCTGGCGCGTATTTTCCCTCAACGATCTTTCCAGCGCATATCCAACTTATCTCTATTTCTCTTCACATATCCGCTGGGCGATAAGCTTCATTGTTGATCCTCGATATGGAGTGAGCGAGAGTGTTGACAGAAATCTTCAGGAGCCTGTTGTAAATACTTTCCGTCACCTATGAATTCTCTGAAACAGGATTACTCTTCACATCACTTGACATACACTATGGATTACAGTTTTTCTTAAAGTCCCTCTACAGGAAGTGAATATTTCGCAATAACATATATATTGTACAGAATAAAGCTGTTACTGTTGTTGTAGATCGGGTATAAGTGATAGGTAGTGATTGGAGTTGCGCCTCATTAGATTAAGCGCTCAACTTATAGCCAATAGACCACGGGTTAGACTCTCGCTCCAGCTACTTCAGTCTTGAAGACTGGGTATTAAAATCAGCCCCCCCCCATAGTCCTGTGTGTGGAAAATCTATCCCTGCTTGTGGAGTCCAAGTAAAGAAATTCTGTGACTTTTTGGGGCGTCAAATGAAATAAATGGGATGTATTTCTGTTACCTAACAATAACTATAGGATACCGGTACTTAGAACTAACCAAAAAGACTCAAATCCTCTACCTTAATCATGTGGACATCAGAAATCTGTTTCTAAATAGTCTCATGTATTATTAGTCAAAGTTAGTCTCACCAACAAAGAAGAACATGTGCATAGAATCATACAGATATATCCAGTTCGCTGAAGCATATAAGAAAAAAGTATTTCTTCGTTTTTGTCAACTTTTACTTGGTTACTCAAACATGGTGTGTGATAACTTTATCGGGGATGCTGACGTACAAAGTTCTGCATTCCTGATATTCGGTATTGTTATATTAGTGTAATTTAGAAGCTTTCATTAGCTTTATAGTTAACATTTCTAACGTTAAAGTCAAAAAGAAGTCAAACTGTGGTATTCTTCATAGAAGGGAGTGATGTGAAGAGGAGATGAAAGCATGTGGTCAAATGGGAAGAAATGTGAGAAGGTGGGCGAAGAAGTCAACACAGCGGGGATGTGCGAGTGAAGCCCTACCTTCCTCTAGGACGTAAAGGAAATAATAACAATAACTATACAGTTTCTTATCGTTATTAAGAGGATCAAAGGATTGTACCAGTGCATATAAGTCTTGCTCCTGTCTCAATCTGAAATCAATAGTCTGATATTTACAGATATTCGCTTTCAAACTACTTGAAAACAACCATCGGGGTTAACATTAGAAAGAATAATATTCTTATCAGAAGAATTTAATTCGGAAACAACTGAGACACACATCGTAAGATCATCAGCAAATTTAATGAAGCTACTTTATTTTACATACACTCCGAGATTATTCTGGTTTTTGCGGATTTATTACATTTGCTCCATCTCTTCTTATATGTTGTTTTGTGAAGTTTCGTAAGCTGAAAACTCAGTTCCGAGTAATTTAAGAAATTTCATTAATAATGTTTGGCATGTAGAGCGTATGATTTCATAATCCCCTGAAGACACGTACAATTTATCAGAAGAAAGAATAACACAAACACACACACAGAGTTAAAATCCTAATAATGAGATGTACTTTTAATGTGATCATGTGATCACATTTTCACACTCTTATCAAGTGTTGCTTTGCACGGATTTGATCAGTGAGAGATTTGATCCTGGATTCCTACTGGTTATAGAACAATTGGAAAACTGCAAGGAGGTAATGGACATGTGATGGGTCTCATCACTTTGAGAAGCTTCAGCATTACACACCTATTGGAATTCGAGCCCAAGAACATCTGCTCACAAGGTGAGCTCGTAGATCATTCACTTGTGACTAATGGAATAACTGAAAACCAACCATCGACAGGTAATCCCGGGCTCACCAGCGGCTGGGCATACTCGAAGTTATCAAGTGTTAGGACGTTTACTCGCCTATGACATCGTCTGAGTGTTGTGTTATATATAAATCGAAAATTGGCAGAAGTTGGAATCGATGAACCAGTGGATTCTGTCACTGTCTGAAAGATCTGCGAGCTCGCCTTGTAACCGTTTAGTCTTGAGCATGAATCCCAGTAGATGCGTACTGATGAAAGGTCCTCATTGACGGTAAGTCAACTGTCCAGGCCACCTAAGTATTCCAGTGGTTCTCTAATTGATTTCATCACATGGTCACCCCTGTAGGTTTTCATTTTTTATTCTGACGACTAGAAACCATTAGAAAGAAACTGAGGCCATAGATAACAACCGAACAGATGAGGATTTGGAACAGCCACTGTACTGATATTTGTATGGCTACTGAATCTACCACACACAGAGTGTGAAAGAGAATCATATTTTATTGGATGATGAGTTTTCGAACACAACATCTTCTTATCATTCATTCACAACTTCGAAACTTGAGATTTTTACCGCTTCCCTTTCTTCCTTCCTTTTCGTCATTAAGGCAGTAGGATTTTCCAGATATCCGAGTACATTGCACGTATTCGCATTTGTTTTGATAAATAGAGCTACATATATCAATCTCTCCCTTAATACTGCTAAAATAGACTTTAAAACTGTCACCTTATCCCATCCCATCCCATCCTGTTGTATGGTCGTGTGTATTTGCGTGTAGTGAGTGGTATAGCTGGACTATTCTCCGGATTTCTTATCTTATTCTGGCCAACTGCACGAGATTTGGCTGTTGGTTTTTGTGCTCTGCTGATCTGAGAGACCCCTTTCAACTATTCTGACATATATATATTTCAGCTGACAATCATTGCAGGCAGCGTATAAGATAAAATAAATTGTTTCTTTTCATTGGGTCCACATGCAGGTTACTTTAACCAACAATTCTTGTTTCTAGCTGAGTTTGTGAGTGGTTTGAATACCAGCCACTTTCATTCCCCCATCAATAAAAATTCTTCATCGTAGGGCGATTTCCGAGGTTCCTTCTTTGTACGAGAGGAAGTACTACTGGTGATTTATATTCCCTGTTGCTGGTGTTATCATCGTACTGTGCAATTTTATCACGCATGTCGTCAACATTATTATCACTGATTTTATTTTTACATTTCTCTAAGTATTTCTTGATTAATTTATAAGGGTAATTATTAGGTTTTAGAGGCTTCTCTCATAGGTTTCAAATCCTGTCTTGGATTTTCCTCGCCTCGTGTTTAGTTTCTCGTCCCTACCACCATAAAATTTCATCACTCCTGATTGTACTGACATAGGTTGGTCATGTTAATTCGAAATCCAAATATCTGTTTGTGCATTTGCCATAGAAAACGGTGTTTAACTTCCCATCTTCTCTCCTTCTTATATTACAGTCTATCACTGAAAGCTGTTCTACATGAGTTTCCAAATCATTAGTGAACTGAACGGCGTCTGCGTTTCCGTTAATATGTTTGAAAAACCCATTTTTGTATTCTGCGCTTCTAATACGGTGAACGTGTCATTTACACTCCTCCATCATACTTTGCTCGATGAGACTGAATGTTCCAATGTCTTAATACTCCCACTTATTGAGGAATACATCTAGCAATACTGAGCATATAAGCGAATCCATGTCAACACCTTCAGCTGGTTTGTATATTTTCCTTTGTAATTCAAATCCTGTGGAAGTCAGATATAAGTGCACTTCTCCTTCCTCCTTGATGTCTTCCAGTGGCCCTTTGGTATTAAAATAAATTTTTTGTGATTAGAAATGAGTTTGTTTCTGATAACTTGAAAATTCATCTCAGATTATTCTTTCTGAGAATTCTCAGTACTAACTACTGCGCGCTACACATGTCCAGAGCATGATTTCCTAATACTGACGACAGCTACAATTTATCAGAAGAAAGAATAACACAAACACACACACAGAGTTAAAATCCTAATAATGAGATGTACTTTTAATGTAGTCTTGTGATCACATTTTCACACTCTTATCAAGTGTTGCTTTGCACGGATTTGATCAGTGAGAGATTTGATCCTGGATTCCTACTGGTTATAGAACAATTGGAAAACTGCAAGGAGGTAATGGACATGTGATGGGTCTCATCACTTTGAGAAGCTTCAGCATTACACACCTATTGGAATTCGAGCCCAAGAACATCTGCTCACAAGGTGAGCTCGTAGATCATTCACTTGTGACTAATGGAATAACTGAAAACCAACCATCGACAGGTAATCCCGGGCTCACCAGCGGCTGGGCATACTCGAAGTTATCAAGTGTTAGGACGTTTACTCGCCTATGACATCGTCTGAGTGTTGTGTTATATATAAATCGAAAATTGGCAGAAGTTGGAATCGATGAACCAGTGGATTCTGTCACTGTCTGAAAGATCTGCGAGCTCGCCTTGTAACCGTTTAGTCTTGAGCATGAATCCCAGTAGATGCGTACTGATGAAAGGTCCTCATTGACGGTAAGTCAACTGTCCAGGCCACCTAAGTATTCCAGTGGTTCTCTAATTGATTTCATCACATGGTCACCCCTGTAGGT